TCATCTCAGGGCCTGGCGCTCGTGTCAAATTCCAGTGTCCTCGTACACGGAGAGCCCAAGATACTGCTAATCACCGCCACCCAGACGACATCAACCACAGCAACGACATCAGCAACGACATCAGCAGTGGCACAACTCATTGCCGACACGGAGAAAACGGCGACCATCGATTTTTTGATTATTGGCATTATAGCTGGTGCGATCGTTTTTCTGTATAGCTGTTGCGGTCGTTGTTCTGTGTTGTTGCGTTCAAGCCTTATGTTTCTTAGTAACCGCCAGCACCGGAAGTCCGAAGAGGACTTGGAGTCTGTGCCCCGAAATGATCTCGAGCACGGGACGCCTGAGGACATTATATGGGTTGCGCGGGGGGCATCCCCAAGGCGCAACCCTCTGCCGAGCGGCGGCCCCACGCTGGCGCGCAGCTTGTCACGTGGTGGATCGACCGAAGTATCGCCTAGGTCAAGCGGGATCGGAGCATCGCCTAGGTCAAGCGGGAATCGCAGTCCGTCGGCTGCCTCACGCAGTCGTTCGGCTGTCTCACGCTCCTTCTCCCAGGCCTCAAGGGTAGCGATTTAGTGCTTCGTTGCGACGGCGAGAACCCCGTCGCAGCATGCAGCACTCCATCGCAACAAGATTGAAGATCTTGTACGCGATGAATTCAGATCTATAGTTGTTTTTTTCCATACTGTACGCCCACCGCCGGCTTGGTACCCTTTCTGGCGCCGAACCAACCCATCCAGATACCAAGCCAGCGGCCGCCGGCTTGGTACCCCGCCGGCTTGGTACCCCCCCGGGGGCTCCTCCCTACCAAGCCAGCGGCCGCCGGCTTGGTACCCCGCCGGCTTGGCCAGCCTCCTCCCTACCGGCCAGCGCCGGCTTGGTACCCCGCCGGCTTGGTACCCCCCAGGGGGCTCCTGCCTACCAAGCCAGCGGCCGCCGGCTTGGTACCCCGCCGGCTTGGTACCCCCCGGGGGCTCCTCCTACCAAGCCAGCGGCCGCCGGCTTGGTACCCCGCCGGCTTGGTACCCCCCCAGGGGCTCCTCCCTACCAAGCCAGCGGCCGCCGGCTTGGTACCCCGCCGGCTTGGTACCCCTCCAGGGCCTCCTCCCTACCAAGCCAGCGGCCGCCGGCTTGGTACCCCGCCGGCTTGGTACCCCCCGGGGGCTCCTCCCTACCAAGCCAGCGGCCGCCGGCTTGGTACCCCGCCGGCTTGGTACCCCTCCAGGGCCTCCTCCCTACCAAGCCAGCGGCCGCCTGCTTGGTACCCCGCCGGCTTGGTACCCCTCCATGGCCTCCTCCCTGCCAAGCCAGCGGCCGCCTTGGCCGGCTTGGTACCCCCCCCTACCCCGGGGCTCCTCCCTACCAAGCCAGCGGCCGCCGGCTTGGTACCCCGCCGGCTTGGTACCCCTCCCCCCTACCAGCCAGCGGCCGCCGCCGCTTGGTACCCCGCCGGCTTGGTACCCCCCGGGGGTTCCTCCCTACCAAGCCAGCGGCCGCCGGCTTGGTACCCCGCCGGCTTGGTACCCCTCCAGGGCCTCCTCCCTACCAAGCCAGCGGCCGCCAGCTTGGTACCCCGCCGGCTTGGTACCCCCCCAAGGGCTCCTCCCTACCAAGCCAGCGGCCGCCGGCTTGGTACCCCGCCGGCTTGGTACCCCTCCAGGGCCTCCTCCCTACCAAGCCAGCGGCCGCCGGCTTGGTACTCCTCCGGCTTGGTACCCCCCCGGGGGCTCCCCCTACCATGGAGCCAGCGGCCGCCGGCTTGGTACCCCGCCGGCTTGGTACCCCTCCAGGGCCTCCTCTCTACCAAGCCAGTGGCCGCCGGCTTGGTACCCCCCCGGCTTCGTATCCTACTGGCCTTCGGCCCTTCCCGCCATCGTGCTTGGGTGGTGGGTCAGAGGCCTCATGGATGTTGGTTGGGATCTCGTGGTTGGCCTCTCGGGGGCCTCTTGGAGGCAGTTTTGAGGCATCTTGGGGGCTGTTTTGGAGCTTCTTGGGGCCTCTTTTGGGTCTCTTGGGAGCCTCTTTGGGGGCGTCTTGGCGGCCTCTTGGGGCCTCTTCGGGGCCTCTTGGGGTCTCCTGGCGGCCTCTTGGGGCGGAAGGCTCGAGCTTTCGGTCTGTGGTCCCCCTCTGGGCCCTCTCCTGGGGCCGTCTTGGGGGCCTCTTGGGCCGTCTTGGGCGCCTCCTGGGCCGTCTTGGGGCCCTCTTGGGCCGTCTTGGGGCCCTCTTGGAGGCCGTCTTGGGGCGGTCTTGGGGGCCTCTTAGGCCGTCTTGGAGCGTCGGAGAGCCGAAAAGGCGGGAGGGCCAACATCCTTCAAAAACAAATGGAAATTGTCGATTTGGACCTCTTGGGCCGCTCTTCTGAGGCCTGTTGGCGCCGAACCAACCCATCCAGATACCAAGCCAGCGGCCGCCGGCTTGGTACCCCGCCGGCTTGGTACCCCCCGGGGGCTCCTCCCTACCAAGCCAGCGGCCGCCGGCTTGGTACCCCGCCGGCTTGGTACCCCTCCAGGGCCTCCTCCCTACCAAGCCAGCGGCCGCCGGCTTGGTACCCCGCCGGCTTGGTACCCCCCTGGGGGCTCCTCCCTACCAAGCCAGCGGCCGCCGGCTTGGTACCCCGCCGGCTTGGTACCCCTCCAGGGCCTCCTCCCTGCCAAGCCAGCGGCCGCCGGCTTGGTACCCCGCCGGCTTGGTACCCCCCCGGGGGCTCCCCCTACCAAGCCAGCGGCCGCCGGCTTGGTACCCCGCCGGCTTGGTACCCCTCCAGGGCCTCCTCCCTACCAAGCCAGCGGCCGCCGGCTTGGTACCCCGCCGGCTTGGTACCCCTCCACGGCCTCCTCCCTACCAAGCCAGCGGCCGCCGGCTTGGTACCCCGCCGGCTTGGTACCCCCCCGGGGGCGCAAGCCAGCGGCCGCCGGCTTGGTACCCCGCCGGCTTGGTACCTCTCCAGGGCCTCCTCCCTACCAAGCCAGCGGCCGCCGGATTGGTACCCCGCCAGCTCGGTACCCCCCCGGGGGCGCTTGCCTACCAAGCCAACGGCCGCCGGCTTGGTACCCCGCCGGCTTGGTACCCCCCTGGGGGCTCCCCCTACCATGGAGCCAGCGGCCGCCGGCTTGGTACCCCGCCGGCTTGGTACCCCTCCAGGGCCTCCTCTCTACCAAGCCAGCGGCCGCCGGCTTGGTACCCCGCCGGCTTCGTATCCTACTGGCCTTCGGCCCTTCCCGCCATCGTGCCTGGGTGGCGGGTCAGAGGCCTCATGGATGTTGGTTGGGATCTCGTGGTTGGCCTCTCGGGGGCCTCTTCGAGGCAGTTTTGAGGCATCTTGGGGGCTGTTTTGGAGCCGTTCCTTGCACTCTAAACAAGTTTTATCATATGGAACTCTGCGACGACATGGCGCAGGCAGCGCTGCGGGTTTAGCTCGCACTTGAAAAACGCGGCAGTCTTCTGTCTCCTCCCGCCACTTTCATCGTCGTCCTATTCCCCGCCTCACCTTCTCCATGCATGCTGCTGCTTCCGCGATGGCCTTTCGCACCCCCCGCCCTCCATTCCATCCCTCTCCTACCCCTCGTGCCCGTGCCCGTTCTTCTTCGATCCTGGGGCCTCAATCCTCGTTCTTTCGATCGTCGCCCTGTGAATCGTGCAGCGCATGCGCATCCCATGTAGCTTGCACAGCAAATCGCCGCGTCTACACTGTCGTTGTTCCTGCTAATGTTGGCATAGTCCTTTTGCCATTTGATGCACGTGGGTTGGGTACGTCGCAGGGTAATTTCAGACCGCAGCGATCTCCTTCGGGTTCCTGGTTCTCCCGCTGACCCATCCTTGATACTGCTCATTTATGACGACTGGGACACCCGAAAAACAATCGCTTTTCTCACAACATCCGCCTGTAGGAGGACATGCCCGACCTGACCCAAAGGCTCCCTCCGCGTCTCTCCTCCGCTGCCTCCTCGCCCGCCTGCCCTTCCTCCTCCTCCTCCGCCTCCTCGGGCACGCAGCGGCTCCGAGGGGCCCCGGGGGGCACAGAAGCTGCCTCCGGCCGCCCTCTCCCTCCTCGTCCTCCTCCTCCTCCTCTTAACCTCTTTTCTCTCCTCTCTACATCCTCCCAGCAGCTTGGCAGCGTGCAGCTAAACATCTGTTCAACTTTTGTGTTTAAACCAGCTGGAGGCGCAAAGTCCGGCCTCACTGAGAGGATCAGCTGGTATAAACATCGAGCAGTTGTTTGCATGGCTAATTTAACCTGTATATTCAGTCGGATCCGCAAAGGACGGCCTCACTGAGAGGATCGACTGTTTAAACGCAGATTTTTTAATAGTTGAATTCGTTTCGCTTTTAACCCTTCGCTGTACGCTGCGCACTGGCGAAAGCGGTCTGGGTACATGCCCTAGCGTCCTGCTGCTCCTCTTTCTCCTCTCGTTCCTCTTCGTCTCCTCCTCCTCCTCCTCTTTTTCTGCTCCTCTTCCTCCTTCTCTCCGCTGGCGGAACCGCTGGCGTCGCCGCCAGTGCCGCGGCTGGCCTGGGTCGCGCGGCGGTAGCGCCGCGCGGCCAGCGGCCAGTGCCGTGTGCGGGCGAAGACCCGCGAGGCGCACGGCTCGCCGTGGAGAAGGGAGGTCTTCAAGGGCATCTCCATCCAGACCCCTTTTCTCCACGCGCAGAGATGCACGCCCCCTCCCCCTGACATCGGGGCAGCTCCAGTCGTTTCTTGCCACTCTACGCTGTGGTTCCTTCAAAACGTCGGGTGTCGTGTGGTGCCCCGATCCTCTTTTTGCCGCCTCCCCTCTGTGGGATCGCCGCCGCGCTTGGACGCGCCGGCGAGTGGCCAGCAGCGGCGCGCCGTGTGCATGCCGAGAGCCCGCGAGATGCGGCCACAAGGGCCGAGACGCCGCGGTGCTCCTCCGAGCGGAACAGAAGCCGTCCGTGCTCGTCTGGAGAAAGGCTTTCCTATCCCTCGTCTTCCCCCGCGCTGCCTCGTCTGCAAGGTATGCGGTAATTCGGTTCCTTCGGCGATGGCGCGCCGGCGACGCCGGCGACGCCGGCGACGGCGTTCAAGGTTGAACTCTGCGACGCGGAGGCACCGAGTGACGCGGTACAGTGGGGGCGTGCATCAAGAAACTATATGCTTTTCGTCAGGGTATTCTGGATTTCTTCGCTCCCCGCGCTGCCGGGTGACTTCCCGCAGCTGTTGAAGAACTTGTTCAACGGCTTAGAACGCAGCAGCTTCTTAGAAGCTGCTGCGTTCAGGGTGATCCGGTATTCCCCTCAGGTGCACCTTGCGCGCGGGTTTTTAGGTTTGGGTTTAGCACAGCACTGCACATCACAGCACAGCACAGCACCTCTGGACACCATAAAGGGGTGCGCGGATGTCTCGAAGCGGCGTTGGGCAGCTCTCCAGATTTCTCTGCAGCATGACTGTCACCCACCCACAAAAACATATGTTTAAACAATGCTGTCCTAGGATCCCTCGTGCCAGAGCTGTAGGGGGGCAGGCGGCGCCCACGGCGCCGTCAGGCTTCAAAGGATAACTGCGAATACCCGACACAGCAGCAGAAGACGAGGAGAAACCAGACACGGGCGAGCGTGGGGCGTCCAGCCCCCAACGTTTGTTCGATCGATCCCGCTCGGGACCTGCAGGCGGGCCCCGAGGGCCCCAAAAAGTCGGTACCTGACCTGGCACTCCAGGGGGCCCTCGAGGCCAACAAAAACAGATCACGTGCGGAAGACCCCTCCCCTCGAGAGGAGGGTGGGCGGGGCCGAAATCTTGTGGACGGCAGAGCCGAGTGAGGACACAGAAGAGGACGGCACGAGGGGGGGGGAACAAGCAGCATAAAAGAGCGTTACAATAACATTTATTTAAACAATGCTGTCCTAGGATCCCTCGTGCCAGAGCTGTAGGGGGGCAGGCGGCGCCCACGGCGCCGTCAGGCTTCAAAGGATAACTGCGAATACCCGACACAGCAGCAGAAGACGAGGAGAAACCAGACACGGGCGAGCGTGGGGCGTCCAGCCCCCAACGTTTGTTCGATCGATCCCGCTCGGGACCTGCAGGCGGGCCCCGAGGGCCCCAAAAAGTCGGCACCTGACCTGGCACTCCAGGGGGCCCTCGAGGCCAACAAAAACAGATCACGTGCGGAAGACCCCACACAGGCCAACCAGCCCCTTCTGGCCGCAGGCCCTATCTAGATTGCACAGCGCAGAACGTAGCACACCAGGGGGGGAGGGAGGGAGGGGCGAAGGAGTAGGTAACTAGTCCTGACCCCCCCAGCTTAGGCACATCTTTAGGGATCCCCGAAAATACATCATTCTTCATGTTAAATGGAGAAACGAGGCTACGTACTGCGCCTTCTAATTTTCGCCTTGAGGCCCGACCTGGGCCTCGCCACCTCTGGGCGCGGCTCCTCGGGGGAGCCGAGCGGCAGCGAGTCGCCCTGCGGCAGCCCCTTCAGCATCACTATCAGACGAGCAGTGAGTGGCTTCTGCGCCACCCTGGACTTCCCCAGCGCCTGTGCCATGAACATGCCTGGGGCCCGCCAGAACTCCTCGCCGTCTCGTAGCTTGGCGTCGCTCATGATGCTGCGCCTCGCAATGAGGATGAACGACTTCGTATACCTCTGGAGGGCACTGGCGGTGTTCCAGCGCCCCCTTCTCCGTGCAACCTCCAGGTCCCCCCCTCCCGCCACGAAATGTGCGGCTCCCGCATGCCTGAGTCCGTGCGGGGGCCCGAACTGCTCGAGCCCGAGCCTGACGAGGGAGCGGTTCCACTCGCGCCTGTACTTGTCGGGGGTGATGGGGAAGACGCAGTCGTCGGGGGCGAGGTCGGAGATCAAGACCTTCATGATCTGCTTGCCGAGCTCCGTCGTCAGCTCGACGCCCTGGCCCGACCCCGTCCGTTCGATGCTATATCCCACGCTACAAGGGGCGCTTGATCTGCCGCGCCTCAAGGCGGCAGAACGGCCCGGAGATCGCGGGCAGGAGATCTGGCAGCAGTTGGCAGGTCATGGACCGAGCGATTTGGATCAACGGAGACCTTCTTCGCGGACAGCGAAGGCGACGTGAACTTTAAGGACTTCGTGGTGGAGGTGACGGGAAGGGTGGGCCCAGGTGGACATCCGGGCTTCACGTCAGCGCGCTTGTTTCGTAGAGCGACGCGGCGACGCGCTACGGCGCGCGCAACGCGCCGCCGGGGGCAGTTGTAGCGCGAAGGCATCGTTGCTATCTTCGACTTCCATGCCGGCCCGCGCCATTTCGCCGGCAACGTCCTCACGCGCTAGCGCCGGCGACGTTGCTCCGTGCAACGTCTTTGGCGGGCAGCCCGCGATGCTGCCACCGCTCGATGCAGACGACGAGGGCAAGGGTGACTACGTCGCCGCAGCCGACCCCGCTCCCGACGGCGATGCGCAGCCCAGGCCCAACCGACTGCAGTGGCAGATCCGCGATATCGCTCTGCAGCGCATGATCGCGGCTACTTCGAGCGCGCGCGCCAGCCGCGCCCTCCGGGCACGCGCCACAGAGACCGGAGGGGGCGCTCCAGCGTGGTTGATCAGGTGAAGATCCACGGGGCTCTTAGTACGAAAGACGCGTCGGGTTGGGCAGGTCTCGGTTTACCTGGCTGAAGGCGAGGTTGCGGTCGAGCGCCGCAACGCCGAGACGGTCTGCATAATGTGGAGCGCTGAATCGGCGCCGTCGGCATTCACGAGGGTGCTTGCATGGCGCGAGCAGGCTTGGCCTGGGATCGTCTTGACGACTTGTAAGAGCACGTCGCAACAGGCAGGAGCCAGGGCCTTCGGCCATTGGGAGGACGAGCAGGGCCGAGCATGCTCGGCAACGCCCTGATGTTCCGATGCCCTGTGCCTCGTGCCCCGCAGATGCTTCAGGCCACCTGGCGTTCGTGCCGCGCGCCCCGTGCTCGGCCAGAAATATGTGGGCTACTGGCCGGACAGCGACCGCAGTCTGGCCATCCGGCATAGCCCCCCCGCAACCCGTGAGCGACGTCCACCATGTGCGCGCGGGCGGCGTCAGGTTCGAGACCCGCGGCCTCGTCGGCGAGCAGTTGATGGGCGCTCGCGTCACCTAGTTAGTCCTGGGCGAAGAACAGCTACTGGCAGCCGACGCCGGGCATGGCCAGGACGGGGCTCGTGATGATTGCGTTGCCGACGTGCCCGAGGAGGCCGCCTGTGGCACCGAGGGCGGCCAACATTCAGCCTTGTCGGCGATGCCCGAAGAGGCCGACGGCGACTTGTCGGGTCACGTCCAATAGGCGACGTCGGCAGCGTTGCAGGAGGTCGAGGGCGCGGAGGAATTGTCTGAGGAGTTGCAAGGGCTGGATGGCCCAGACAGTCAGCAGATGCTTCGCGCGCCGTCGCGCACGCGGCCACCAGCATCTCGCGGGCCGCGCGAGTGGCCCCAGCAACTGGAGACCGCCGCGCCAGCGCCAGCGCATCCACGCGCAGCATCACGAGTGCCTGCGCGGCGCCTCTGTAGAGGACTGCGCCGAAATTGAGGAGGGGGGACAAGGGGCGCGCCACGCGGAGTCATTTGGACCCACGAGTGGGAGAAGCATTTCTGAACTTCCGCGAGGGCAACAATATTGCCGACGCGTCCACCGGCTGCGTTCCATCCAGGCCAATTTCGCAGCCGAGACCGCGGCGATCAAGCGCGCCGCTGACCTCGCCACCAGAGGGCGTGGACGCTGACCAGGGAGGTGGCCGCCGCCGTCCTCGAGGAGCCCGCCACCTAGGTCATGCACAGGCGTGGTGGGCGAAGCCCTCTCAAAGGCGGTCGGAACTCCTCGGGCCCCAGGCGCGCCTTCTTCAGAAAGAAGCATCGGATTGGGTCGGCCGGCAGGGCCGCCCGGACCGTCCGGCGCCGCGCGTCGCTGACGGACTTCCGCGACAATGGCGCCGAAGCCCTAGAGACGTTCGCATGCGCGGCAAAGCGGGCGTCTCAGCGAATTCTCTCCTCAAGAGCCACTTGTCGCCTGGACAGGCCCCTGCGTCGCCGTGGACGTCGAGTCAGCGCCCCTGCGCGGCAATGGGGCATGGCCCATGCCGCGATGCAGAAGCAGGGCGAAGCGCCGAGAGAGGTGATGTTCTCCTTGCCGCCCAGCAGATCTACCATCCTCGGACAGGCCCCAGGCCGCGAGTCCGTCGACGAGCAGGCCGAGTGCTTGCGCTGCGCTAAGCCCGGCACGGGATGCAAGGATGCGCCCAGAGATTGGTCCACGCAGTTTGCCAGGGCCACGTCGATGTTTTGAATTTTTTGTGGCCCTCTTGGGCCCCTCTTGGTGCCGTCTTGGGCCGTCTTGGGGACCTCTTGGGCCGTCTTGGGGCCATCTTGGGCCGTTTTGGGGCCGTCTTGTAGGCCTCTTGGGCCGTCTTGGGGCTGTCTTCGGGGCCTCTTGGGCCGTCTTGGAGCGTCGGGAAGCCGAAAAGTCGAAAAGACAAAAAACAAAAAAAACATAGAAAATTAGCCTCTCGGGGCCCTCTTGGGAGGCTTGTTTGGGACCTCTTGGGCCGTCTTCGAGGCCTCTTGGCCCGTCTTGGGGTCATCTTGGGCGTCTTGGAGCGCTGGTTTGGCGTCTCGGGGCCCTCGTGGGCCGTCTTGGAGGCCTCTTGGGGCCTTCTTGGCCCATCTTTAGGCCTTCTTGGGCCCAGAAGAGCCCGTGAGTCGCTCGTCGGGCCCCCCCCCCCTCCAAATCGACCGGACCGGGCTCCCGGGGGAGGGGTTTGAGGAGGGGGGAGCATCTCACACGCCGATGATCCCCAAGGGGTCGGCGGACGACGTCTCCAATGACTTCGACATCGACGACGACAACGACGACAACGACGAGGGAGGAGGGAGGACGGCGACGACGCGAACGACGAAGAAGGAGGGAGGACGACGACGCCGACGACGACAACGACGAGGGAGGAGGGAAGACGACGACGACGACGACGACGACGGCGACGAAATAGGAGGGTCGACGACGAGACGCCGACGACGGACGACGACGTCGAGGGAAGAGGAAACG